TTTATGATGAGTTATTTGCTAATTACTAGAGCATATTACTCTGTTATTATCTTGTTGTGTAGGTAATGAGTAATGTGGTGGAGCCAGTAGTTGAATCCTGCATTGGAGCATCTAATGATCAACCTGTTACACAAGAGACATTTTTGGCTGAATTTAAGAAAGTTGCAGAGAGTGCTGCTCAACGTCTCAAGGAGCAGCCAGTCATTGTTGCTCATAGCGAGAACACATTTGATGGAAGTGGAATTAAAAGACTATTGTCTAACAAGTTTGAATTGGATAAGGTATGTACACATCATCCGTGGTGTTGTCTTCTGGACCTAATAATATATAGTAACATATCATACTACAAGAAATGAAACTTTCTTAGGAACTAATGTTATACAAGAAGTGGAAAAGTCTAGTGGCCTGAGGGTCATCATACTTTTGCATCTTTTTTTATTTAGTTGTTTATCTATGTTGCAGACGCTGGATTCTGCCTTAAAGACTATACCTAGAGATCGCCATGGGAAAATGTCAAAGGAATACCTACGAGTTGCACTTGATGTTCTTGCACCATCAGCTGGTCTACCTCCAATTGGTGCTGTTGACCAGGTATTTGTCAACTAAGGATTCAACTTATATGCACTAACAATATCAGCGTCTTTAACATATTGTAGCCAGTAATCTACCTTAATTTTCAAGTTACTAATCTTATCAGTGTGTAGAAGTTAAACTTGTCAACTAATAGATCACATTTTTGCTTAATTAAAAGCTGGCCTTGTATATGATATAGTTGTATCCCCCGTGTTTGCAGATGGATAAGGTCATACAAGAAGTCTGTAAGATGTTGGATGCCGATGATGGGAAGATGGTTAAAGAGGAAGAGTTCAAGAAGTTGTTGACTGAAATACTGGGCAGCATGATGCTGCAATTAGAAGGGAATCCAGTTTCGGTGTCCACAAACTCTGTTGTGCACGAGCCTCTTGCTTCTTCCTCTACACTCTTGCAGCCTCCATCTATTTCTGAGATGTAACTGATCTTATGGAACTAGACAAAAAAAGAATAACAGGGGATGTATGATGTAAATTTCTGTTAAAATTAAAGGCTGAGAGATACTGTCTTACTAATACAGCATCCATTTCAGCAATTAATACTGTCATATTTCTTGAATTAAATCAGTGTCTGTTTAAATAACTTAATCATCAACTATGGACAGAGTAATTTAGTGAGTGTAACCATATTCAAATAAATCATGAGCATAGACTATCATCATATTTTAAAACTTGTGGGTAGAAATTCTTGTAACTATAAATATCATTTCCGTGAGGGTAAAATAAGAAGTTTGAAGTTAAATTGTTACTAAATTCTTTCTGATATGCTACTAAAAGAATTTTCAATCAAATATAAAGGTGCAAGCACATGTAAAGGTATATTCATGAGATGGTGAAGCTTAAAAAACTCAGCTAAATTGTGACTGTTCAGAATGTTGTGTGATGTTGCACTTCTGATTTTGACAGGATGGATTGCATCCTCCACCTTTAACCAGAGGTCTGGATTTTACATGTGGTGTGAATTCAGATGAGTCCGCCAGTGGTTTCCAATACCAAATGTATAAAGCCAAAAAAAATAGGAATGTGGAATTTTGACAATCATGATCAAAACAATTTTAGGTTCCAAGATCAAGATTCTAGTTTTGTCTGCAAGTGTGAGGTCATTCTGTGACTCATACATGAATAATAAAATCTTGATGCAGAAGTAAGTCAACTATGTGATTAGAGTTGACATTTGGAGGATAAGTAATGAACTTTGAATTTTCCAATCTATCAAAGATGTAAGCTTTTCATGTTTAGTCATAAAAAAACTTGTTTTCCTTAAAATCTCAACTAAAGAAAAGTTTAGTTTATTAATTTTCCCTAACAGAAAGTAGCTAATATTGGAACTTCTGGAATGATTACTCATGCTTTATTTACCTTTCTTGCATATTGCATGTTTGCCTCCATAACTAAAGGATGTTGGAAAGGACAAAAACTCCTCCTGAAAATTTCTTTTATTGGTTAAATATACAAAAAACATGACTTAGTAGTTAGTAGAGTATCTGAGAAAAAGTTATTTTTGTCCTATTTGATTCTGTGTTGATATTTCCAATGGTCTTTTGCTTTGTTACAACCAAACATTGTGGATTTAGTTCTAAGATGGAATGAATAAAAGTTTGTCTCATTCTACTTCTGAAGAACTATATCTCTGTTCCAAATTGTACTTTCAGAAAGGATCATGGACTTGATCAGTGGACCAGGATGTTTTCCCCTGATGTTGGTATTGATAATTACTATGTTCAATCTTTCAGGCAAACACCCTTTTCCTATTTTCGTCATTTTTGCTTCTGTTTTGGAAATAGTAAATACCTTAGCCACTTGTTCTTCTGTTAAGTTGGGTGCTTTTAATTTCAGATTGCTATGATCCTCTGGATCCTATTGGAAATATATCGGTTACGTATGACATTGTTAGATGGACAGAAGATGGTTACCAGGTAAGAAAAAACAACTCTTAGAATTACTTCCATATTGAGTAGGACCCAACATCTATTTTCTTAACACGATATCAGTCATTTGGGAGGGGAGGGTGAAGTTTTTGACGTTAAGTCCAAAGTTCATTTTCTTAGTAGTTTCATTGAGGCCAAAGTTTATATTTATCCATCAGTTTAATATTAGTAGTTTTTTTCTCTCTAACTTGACTATAGTGCTTCAGGCAAGGATAACCATTCAAAACTACTACAAGTATAGACACATCGAGAAACTGGGCTGGCAACTAGGGTGGACATGGGCAGCTAATGAGGTTATTTGGTCAATGTCTGGTGCTTTCGCCACTCAACAAGGGAATTGTTCAGCCTTCAAGTCTGAAATTCCACATTGTTGCAAGAAAAATCCTATTATAGTCGACCTCGCGCCAGAAGCTCCACCAGAGAAAAGATTAGATGGTTGCTGTCATGGTGGACTTCTTGCTGCCTCAGCTATCAATCCTTCCAATTCTAGTGCATCCTTTGAGATGAAAGTTGGAAACATAAGGGGAAATTATACAACTCACAAGCCTCTAAATCCCACTCTAATGGCTCCAGGACCTGGTTATACTTGTGATGAATTTATTGACACAGATCCAACAACATCTTTGGTAATAGAAGGACAAAGACAAGAACAAGTAATCAGTAAGTATTCTGTTTTGAACTTATACTACTAATGTTGAGTTAATATCTTTATGTGTTCTTCCTTAAGTGCCTCATTTTTTAAGTGTTCACCATAAAATAGTAGATTGGATATTAAATCCCTTTTGTTCAGGGACATGGAAATCAACATGCACCTACTCAACTTTCTTGGCCAACAACTCGCCAACCTGTTGTGTTTCTCTTTCAACATTTTACAATCCTGAGGTGACACCATGCAATTTGTGTAGCTGTGGATGTAAATTAGCTGACAATGAGGCAAAATCATGCATTGGGTTGGTAACTAGGCAAAACAGCCTTTTAATAGGATGAAATACTTCAATTTTACCCATTTTTGCATAAGGTGCTGATTTTGTTGTGGTTTATATACATGGAACAGACAAAGTTCATCATCACCATACGAGCGTGAGCTACTTCAGTGTACTGATCATATGTGTCCACTTCGGGTTCACTGGCACATTAAGAAGAACTACAGGAATTATTGGAGGGTGAAACTCACTGTTTCCAATTACAACTTAGGTAAAAACTATTCCAACTGGAATTTGGTAGTCCAACATCCTGGTTTTAGCCAGCAGGCAACTGTCTTCAGCTTCAACAATGCAATGCTCTCTACCGTTGGTGTCCCAGGTATTTGGTCTACATTAAAGTCACGCTACAATAATTGAACTTTACCAAGTATATATGAAAAATAATTATTGATGTTAATGCAGATGAAGTTGCACTCTTTTGGGGTTTAGATTTCTACAACGACGCTTTGTTGCAAGCTGAAGAGAAGCAAGTGGGATCTGTGACTACAGAGATACTTTTACTTAAGGACATGACCTCATTTACACTTAGTAATGGATGGGCATTTCCAAGGAGAATATATTTCAATGGTGAGAACTGTGAAATGCCTCTTCCACAGACTTTCCCTATGCTTCCAAATGGTAGCTCAAGGGAAAAACCTTGTAATAGCCATCTTTCTGTTCTACTACTGTCGATATATTTGACTTATAAAACACTTAATTTCTGGTCATAAATCAAGATTTTGCATCTTTCACCTCATGAGAATCAACTTTATTGATCCTATTCGATATGCCGAAGGTGAGAAATCATCAATAATGCAGCTTCCTTGGCTTAAAAGACGGAACTCTAGTGAAGAGTCATTTCATTTTTTGGCTCATGAGTACATTCCAAATATATGGACCATGGTAACATTATTGGTTTGAGACCTTTGGCATATGATTAACTTGTACATGCTTCCTCACAATTGTATGCAAGCATACAAATGAAAAAAACAAAAAAGGGGGGTGGGAGGAGGAGAATAACATTGGTTTGTAATTAATAACTTTCGAAAGTTATGAAAAATATAGTACTGTATAAAGTAGAGTGATTTCAAGCATTTTATAATATTCAAGAGGTCAACAAAAGAAAAAAGAAAAAAAGAGGTCAACAAAAATGTGGCATGAATTGAGATGAATGATGTATTATTCTTATTTTTGTCTGAAATTTTTATGTATTGTTTGGTTTATTTAAAAATTTTGTATAGAATAGACTGTAAGTACAAACCTTTTAATTATTTTCATTTCTTTTAAAAGATTTTTCCACATGTATCAACCGTTATAAATGAGTATTGGGGAAAAAGTTTAATATATCCCTTGTTATAAAAATGACTATATGAACTATTTTTATAAAGTATGAGCCACAAAGTTGGGGGTATGTCGGGAATAACCACTTGCCTAATTAATTGGATTTTGGGTCGGGTCGGTGCGACATATGGGCCGGTTGAACAACATTATCAATCAAGCTGTTAAATGTTAATAGCTCTCCAATAATAGACTTCACAAGTTACCACTTCGATTCTCAGTTTCTCAATCGCAGAATTTGAAATCGAAAAAAGTTTTCAAAGGAATTAACTGTAAAAATGGCTCCTCCTCACGGCGATAAGTCAGCAGGAGTCAAGGAGGAGGCCGCCGCCGCCGTTTCCTCAGTCGATAACCGCCCTATCTCCACCATCCTCTTCATCGTTGGTACTTTTTTTTTTCTTTTCAAAAAGAACTTTCTCTGTTTGCTTTTTACTTGTGATTGCTCCATTTATTATGAAATCGTGTTGACGGTGAAATTTTTTGTCCGTGAATCGATAGCTATGCAAGCAGAGGCGTTACCTCTTGTTAAGAAGTTTCAGCTTACTGAGGACCTCAATTCCGTGTAAGCTCCATCTTTTCTTATTTTGAGGCTTTTACTACTCAGAATTGAAGAGATTATGTACAAAATCACAACTAAAAAAGTTAGAAATTCTCTCCTTTTTTGCTTTGTAGCTTACTTTTCGGATATTAGTTCTCCTGTACCGAAAGATCAAGAATAAGAGGACTAAATACACCTAAGTTTAGTTGTGAGTCTGGAAATAACTTTTTCCTTTTTGAAATATAAGCTACGTATTTAAATAAATCACAATTTCATAGCTAAAATATTCATTAAAAATGTTGAAATGTGGAAGCAAAGGTAAAAAAGAATTTGACTTTTTCTTTTGAAATAGAGTGAGGAGTGTCTTCGAGATTACCAAACTAGACATGTGAAGATAACCAGAAACTAGTAGTAGAAGAAATGAAATAGTAGTTATTAGATAAGTTTTGAGGTGGTAAATATTTTAGATGCTAGAGCTCTGACCAGCAAGAACGTGTAAGCCGTGTATTTGTGCACCATATATAAATGCTATTTTACTTGATCAACTTTGTCATTTAGATAATTGGAGTTTTAAGCTTTATACATATATGATTTTGGAGAAATAACTTGTTGGCCTGGTCAATAAGAGGGAGTCATACTTTGGCCTGTTTTTTTTTTCAAAAGAAACTATCTAAAAGCCCCTATGGCTTGTTGCTTCAAAAATTGGTTGTTAGGATTCGGAGTGAAATCAATGTTTAAATTGCAAATGAAGCTACAACTCCATGAGGAAGCAAGAGCTGATTAGAGAGATTTTACTATACATTTCTTTTTCTAACTGCGTTATTAGCATCTTATGTAGGGTTAAAAGTATGTTATTCAACACGGAATAGGATCAATCCTAAAAAGAAATAAAGAAGATTATAGCATATGACAAAAAATTGGAGTAATTTGCAAATAAAATATCCATAATATGTATATTATTGATGACAGCAAATGTTGCAGTGTTTACCTGTTGAATCATGTGGATGTGGTATTAGGTTGCTTGTTAAACAAATTAGCAAGATTATGATGCGTTGCATATGTGTTGCTCCCTCCGTCCCATTTTATGTGACACCCTTTCCTTTTTAGTCCGTTCAAAAAAGAATGTCACCTTATTATACTTGGAAACAATGTAACTTTGAAATTTCCCTTTTAACCTTAATGACATGATTTACGGACACACAAATATCTAAGGATTGTTTGAGACTACAACTTTCAAAAGTCTTCCTTTTCTTCTTAAACACTGTGCCAAGTCAAATGACACCATAAAATGAGACAGAGGGAGTAATACTTATTCAAACTGAAAATATTTTGAGGATGATTCACATGATTTAGAAAAAAGAATTATATCCTATTCGAAAATGAATTTTGTAAGAGTTGTTGCCTTGTTGGATTCTTTCAAAAGATCACGGAATTTATTATAATGATGACCAGGAACCTCTAAATTTTCCATGTGCTCAATTGTAGTGTGTAATTATTTATGCAGTAAATTTTTACCATGCTTGGTGGTGTTCTGTTGTCTCTTCTTGGATCTAATATCTGATGTGCCCAATGCAGGTTCCCAAAGGGAGTCCCTTGGGTGCGGTTCTATGGTAATTACAAGGGTCTCGCCATTAATATTGTTTGTCCTGGGAAAGACCCAGCATTGGGTAGGGTATTTTGATCTTGACAATTTTTACTTTGCTGATTACATCTTATGAATGTGGCTGCTTATATAACCAATGCATGAGCATATTGTTTCCACATTTGAGATAGAAAATTATATTATCAGTAACAATCCTTCTTTTCCTTCGAAGTATTAGCAGATTGTGTATTGCCTCATTTAGTGGTAGGACATAGTTTCACCAACCAGTTCTTCAACCTGCGAATGGGGAGTTTTATGTTGGACCCTCTCATTTTTTATGTGGGGTATGTCTCCTATTAGTCCAATCATTAAGTACATTGAAGTATATAGAAAATGTCCATCTCTATAGATACATCTTTTTTCTAAAAAAAATTGGGGGGTTAAAGTAAGGGAAGTTGTATCATTCACAAACTCAGCAGTGTGGGATTGTTGTGAACTACAAAACAGGCTAGGCTATCCCTGTTACTAATGTAGGATGCCTATGAAATCCAAAAACTCACATAACTTCAGTCCAAACAGTAAAACAGGGATACTGAACCTGTAGACCTTTTTTTTCCTGCATCGCTTAGTAGGCCTATCATACATGGGTTGGTGTCTAAGCTAGCTTACGGTTTGTGCCCATATCAATTCAACTGAGGACCTGGTAGCTCTCACAAACACATGGACTAGATCACTCTGCCATTGGAAATTACACAAACATATTTTTGATCTCAAGTGGGATTTGAGCCCTATTTTCCATTATTTTTGTCCACTTCACTGATTGCTAGGCCACACCTTGGATTCTTGGCATCGTCCAATGCAACTCAAAAATATCCAAAATCATTAATCATCTTCCTTGCTTTTCCATGATGCAAAATTGAGTTGTTAAAATCTTCACTATCCATCAGACTTGAATGGTATCTACACAGATGAAGCCCCAGAAAGGTGTGGTTAGCAACTTAGCATCTTCACTATCCATCAGACTTGAATGGTATCTACACAGATGAAGCCCCAAAAAGGTGTGGTTAGCAACTTAGCATCTTCACTATCCAAACACCACGGTTATTAAAAAAAGACATTCTTCCAGATGAAGCCCCAGAAAAAAACAGGTTACTTTTGTAAGGGCCCTATTCTTCCAAAATTCTTCCATGGTCATACCTTATCAGCTCTCCTAGAGTGGATCATATTTTGGTACATGCTGTAACTGTAAAATACCTTTTTTACCTGATTATATCATATCTACCTGCTTCACAACACCCTTCCTCCAGTGTTTTCAGTAATGAAAAAAGGTGTGGTTAGCAACTTAGCATCTTCACTATCCAAACACCACGGTTATTAAAAAAAGACATGCTTCATGCATAGTAATCCATCCAAAACAGGTTACTTTTGTAAGGGCCCTATTCTTCCAAAATTCTTCCATGGTCATACCTTATCAGCTCTCCTAGAGTGGATCATATTTTGGTACATGCTGTAACTGTAAAATACCTTTTTTACCTGATTATATCATATCTACCTGCTTCACAACACCCTTCCTCCAGTGTTTTCAGTAATGAAATCTGTCTTTTAAACTTCTAACAATTTCTCTAAAGGTGATATTCGAATTCCATTGCCTTTGCATTGGGTTATGGTGGCTTCTACATGTGCGGTGAAGATCTGGAAATTCATCCTTGAGAGGCATGTGGCCTAGCTAGTTATCCTGGGTCAAAGTATGAAATTGCATTTCCAAGATCAAGGCTGTAATTTAGAGTAAATGAGTACATATATGGGTGTGCCCATTTGCAGAGGGAAGTAGCTAGTATTCTTAGAGCCTGGTCTTCTACTCTTGAAACCTTCCTCTTGCTTGAAGGAAAATAACTTTGCCAAACCACTAAAGTGTCTGATGCTCTAAATAGTTTAATGTTTTCCCTTGCACTGTGTGTCTTCGTATATCTCAAATATTTTATATGCATCAAATCTAGTGGTGTCCTAATGTTTGTCGAACTAACTTATGAATGGTCTAACACAGGGGTTGATGGTGTGGGCACGGTTTCTGCATCTCTTGTGACATATGCTTCTGTCCAAGCATTAAAGCCAGACCTCATCATAAATGCTGGCACAGCAGGTGGATTTGGGGTATGATTTGTGTTTATAGATTCTGATATAATCTTCCTTTTCCTCTTTCCCTGATACTTCCTCTTCCCCTGTTATTTCTCTCATCTCTCTAATTGAGCGCCAATAAGATTAATTGTCAGAGGAAAAGGGACAACCTTGTTGGGACAGGAAGATTTTGGGACAGATTAATTGATTTTTTTATTCCTGTGATTCCTCTATGTTGAGCAAACATAAATTTTTCTTTTGATATGTTATTTTTGACACGTTAACTTATTTCAGGCCAAAGGTGCTTCAATAGGAGATGTTTTTATTTCATCAGAAGTTGCTTTCCATGACAGAAGAATACCAATCCCGGTAATATTCATTCTCCATCCTCGCATCATGTCTTTTGAATTCTATTGTTGTTAAGAAACACATGGAATGTGGGAAACTGGATCAAAGTTGACACTAGGTTGACAAACCATTTGCCTCTATACCTCTAACAAGAGATCACAATTCCTATTGTTGTGGCTAAACAAACTTCTACAGTTTACATCATTTCCGGTATATTTACTGGACTTGGTGCTTCAACTGTTTTAAGGACACAGTGATCAATAATCTAGTGAAAGAAGTCCCTGGTTATTTACTGCAAACCTCAATTTGTTGATTCACGTACTTTGATTTGGAAAGTTTTTTGCTGATTTTATGGGCAGCTAAGCTGAAGGGCTTTGGGTGCGCTCATATATGTGTAGGTATTTGATATATATGGAGTTGGTTCGCGGAAGGCTCTTGCTACACCCAATCTTCTGAAGGAGCTTAACTTGAAGGTACTGTTCACCTGTGCATATAAAAGAAGCAAATTTAATTAGCACATGGCTCACATGCTTTGATATCTATTCTTGTTTATGGCTGGTGAATATACTTTTTTAGATTGTGGTTTTAGCTTCTTCGTCATTGAGTTAACATTTTGTGGGTTCAGATTGTCCTTTCATTGTCATTTTGTCAAGTTGGATTTGGGCATTTGTGTCATCTTCCAAACTAATTTTGGTTGGTTATATGAAATCTTAACATCCATTCCTCTCCATTTTGATTCATATGAAATCTTTTTTTCTCGGATTGGTGAGTGATTATCTTAATGTGAATAATGGTGCTGATGTTATATCAGATACGATCTTCTACTATATCAGTAAGTGTTTCTATAGTCCACTTTGTGCCAGTACCTGTACACTATCTGCTATTTTCTTTCTGAATATGATGCTTGAGTATAGACAATCTTGATAAGTCTTACCAGCTTAAGATGTGGTCTTTTTGAGAATGAGAAGCAACATAGATGTGGTAACTTTTAACGCAGTGATGTCTACCAGTTTTACATGTACCTAAAGGATTTATCTTAGCAATATCTGTAATTAGGTGATTTGGATGCTCATGAGTCGGCATGTGAAAATGGGATTCTTCCTGAAAGAGTGTATTAATGATTTAGATGTTACCTGATGTGCTTGAGAACCATGTAAGACTTATATGCCTTTTTTGTCAAACTTGTTAATGTTCATGTGTATACTTGCTTCCACAATAACATTTGATTGTTTCCTGACTAGCTTATAGTGCACATGTACTTGGAAAGTCATTAGGTCTACTTTGGCATATATTCTAATAGCAAAAAGTTTTTTACTGATTAAAAAAAAAACATTGAATTAATTTGTCATGAAATTTCTCTCCTCATTACAGGTTGGCAAGCTGTCTACTGGTGACTCTCTAGATATGTCTCCAATGGATGAAGCATCTATCATTGCAAATGACGCAACAATTAAAGACATGGAGGTAACGTCTAAATGTCTAAGTTTAGTGTGATGGCTTTTATGAAGACATGGAGAAATTAGTCCCCTGCACTGCACATTCCGTAGTCCCCTGTAGAGATTGGTCAAATAGTGTTATTCTGGCCATCAACATGCTTTTCCAGGTTGTCCTTAAGCTCCACATACTTCGTCGATTATATGAACTCTTGTTGTCTAAGATATTTAATATCTCAAAGTTCACCTTTTTAATAATAAAACATTAAGTTGTTCCCTCCCAGGCATGATTGATGGTACTGCTAGGCATGATATTTGAAAACCTAATTCAAGACTGAAATTGTGCTAAGTGTTCAAATGTAGCTTCCGTTTTCCCTCTCTAATTCAAGACTGAAATTGTGCCAAGTGTTCAATGTACTTCCGTTTTTTTCCTAATCACTGTGCTCATTTAGCCTTGCTCTCTCTTATTAGGATATGCATTTTAAGTCCTTTTTTCCAATCCAATGTGTTTTTTGGGTTTTAGGGAGCAGCCGTAGCTTATGTTGCAGATCTGTTGAAAGTTCCAGCCATTTTTCTGAAAGCTGTGACAGACATTGTGGATGGTGATAAACCAACACCGGAAGAGTTTTTGGAAAATCTGGCGGCAGTAACTGCTGCACTTGATAAAACTGCCACCCAAGTTGTTGATTACATCAGCGGGAAATGCTTACTGGAACTGTGATCTGATCTGGTTTCATCCCGTGCATGCTTCAGTGGGAAGAACATATGACATTTGTGTCTAGGCAATTATTAGACTTCTGGGCAGTGAGAATGTTACTTCCTTCGAACTGCATACTGAGTCACCATTGACTCTTTTTTTATTATTATGGTAAATCAGTGTATCAAGATGTGTCAATCTGAAATTTTATTTCGGTTCGATATGTCCACCTAGGAGACTCGCCTTCGGCTTTCGTCTCGGTAGGTGTACAATTCATCGTCCGACATTGTTCCAGCTAGTTTCTCTAAACATAGCTGATATTCTGTAACCGTTGTAAAACCAATGAATGTGTTTTAAGATTTATGGAAATTTTAGTCGGGGAAGAGAGTGGTGTTCCTATATACTAGTTGGGAAATTATCAGCAAAGCACTTGAACAACGTTTAAGCTCCTGAGGTTCAAAGTTGGGTAGAAACCTCCATTGCTCTTTCCTAGTGATCATGAGATTGTTTAATTTTCCTGGTTAAATACATTGATTTTAATTCTCGGCTTTAGTATCACAATTAATGATCTTGTATCATTATTAATGGCTTAGTAATTGTTTCAAGAGCGGGTGAGTTATTACCGATAATGGCTTATGAGTAGGGCAAAAGTCCCAACTCATAAAAGAGCCTAGACTGTACATTACGTAAGGGAATTATTTATTTGTCTATTTGTTCTTGCAGTAACAGATTCATTCTGCTCAAGGTTGTATCTTGAACTTCTTCTAACCAGAATGCCACCAACCACGTATCAAGATTTAACATTACTAAATTGAGATGGAACTTTTGGACTTGTCAAAATCATGAACATCTTGTTCCTCAACTAATTCCAAAAACTCTGTAGTCAACAATATTTGAGCCCCTCTACAGTTTGATGATATATCTAAAACCTTTATTCAGCTTAAGTACGTGTTATAAATAGAAAGTTGTGCAACTTCAAAAGGGCAAGTATTGAGTAACATAAACTATTTAGTACGTGTTGTTATATATAAACAGAAAGTTGTGCAGCTTCAAAGGAGCAAGCAGTGAGTAAATGGGGAGAATGGAAGGAAGGAATGAAATTAACTTCGGAAACGCTACCATTCTTGCACTGGGCAAAGCTTTCCCTCATCAGCTTGTTATGCAAGAGTTTTTGGTTGATGGCTATTTCAAAAACACCAACTGTGATGATCCAGAACTCAAGCAGAGGCTCACTCGACTCTGTAATCTTTTTCTTTCTTTCACTCTTTTAACCGTGAACTTCTAACTAAATTGATTAGGAGCGGACAATAGCAGCTGTAAGGTACTGATAGCAAACCCAGACATTGTTTGGCACCCCATTTGATTGTTTTTTCGTTATATTATTTTGGGTAATCCTCTTCTCGCGAGCTAGCTTTTGAGGTTAGCTAGGTACAATGTTCATTTTCTTAACATGACATCAGAGTAAGACTCATGAGTAATTCATGCTTCTTGTTTTACCAATATTAAGTCCCCATGTTATATTGTCCACACACCAGATGTCCACTTCTAGGTGTGCGCAGGGGGCATTGATTGAGAGAATGTGTTGATGTCTCGTCTCAGACAACTTTCAAACTTTTGAGATTAAGTTAGAAGTCCAATGCCCATTTTCAGTGTCTTTGCGCTACCTACCTAAACATAGTTGATATTTAAGAACATATTTTATAGATATGCTCGTTGTAAGTTGTAACAATGAACTAGTAAGTGCAATATTTTTTTGCACAAACTGATTTTAGATCCTGAATTTGGCTCTTGAGCGGATTTAATTAATCTTTGCAGGCAAGACAACTACAGTAAAAACGCGGTATGTGGTAATGTCAGAGGAGATCCTAAAGAAATATCCTGAACTAGCTGTTGAAGGCCTTCCAACAGTCAAACAAAGATTAGACATCTGCAATGCAGCAGTTACAGAAATGGCAATTGAAGCCTCACAATCTTGTATTAAGAAATGGGGAAGGCCAATTTCAGACATTACACATGTAGTCTATGTTTCGTCAAGTGAAGCTAGATTACCAGGAGGTGATCTTTACTTAGCCAAAGGACTCGGTTTAAGCCCGGAAACTAAACGTGTTATGTTGTATTTTGCTGGTTGTTCTGGTGGTGTCGCGGGCCTTCGTGTTGCTAAGGACATTGCTGAGAATAATCCAGGAAGCAGAGTCTTGTTAGCTACTTCTGAGACTACTATAATTGGGTTCAAACCACCTAGTGTTGATAGGCCATATGATTTAGTTGGTGTGGCTCTTTTTGGTGATGGTGCTGGAGCTATGATAATCGGATCTAACCCGATTCGAGATATCGAGAGACCTCTTTTTGAATTGCATACTGCTATTCAGCATTTCTTGCCTGATACAGAAAAGATCATTGATGGCAGGTAATGTTGGGGTCAAAATGGATTAAATCAATAAACGAGTATATTTTTAGTTCTGAGAAATCAAACTTGGACAGATAGATTGATTTTGCCACATCTAAATTTGCAGGCTTACTGAAGAGGGAATTAGCTTCAAGCTAGAAAGAGAACTACCTCAGATTATTGAAGATAATATTGAGGGTTTCTGTGACAAGTTAATAAGTATTTCTGGAATTAATGATAGAGAATACAACAAATTATTTTGGGCAGTTCATCCAGGTGGTCCTGCTATTTTAAACAGGCTAGAAAAAAAGCTAGATTTGTCTCCTGAGAAATTGAGTGCTAGCAGAAGGGCTTTGGCAGATTATGGAAATGCAAGTAGCAATACAATTGTGTATGTGCTGGAATACATGTTGGAGGAGAAAAAAGACATCACTGATTGGGGATTGATTCTGGCATTTGGTCCTGGGATTACATTTGAGGGTATTCTTACAAAGAATCTCACTATTTGAATCGTGCGTCATTGACCCTTGGAAATTTTTCGATAAATCGAAAAAAATAAAACGAAAAAGAATCTGACTATTTGAATATGATAAAAGAATACTCGATGCAAGTCCTATTGTTGAACCTTTTCTTTTTGTTGTCTACTATATAACATAATTTGAGTAAGAGCAATGAAGTTTGTCATAATAATCTAAATTAGATTGTTCATCGATAATTAATTAGTATTCCTTCTGGTGTTTTATTTTTCTTTCTATTCTGTTTTAACAAGTGTCGCTTTCTATATTTTATTATAACGTTTTATTTTCATTTTACCTGACATGTACAATACCACGAGATTTAAATCAGGTGACGTGATGTTATAAAAGTTCTTTTAAACCATTCGTGTATAGAAGTAAATTAGAAGCAATGCAATAGTATGAAAAATGAGCAGCGCATAAGACAAATAAAATAATCTTTATTTAATTCTGTACTATAAAACTTAACATCCAAGAACAGAACAAATATAAAAAAATATACTCGAACTTCATTTATTCCTCATCTTATTATACAATACAATACAATGCAAACCAGAACAAATATCACACCAAACACACAAATCAAAGTGAATACAATTTCCTCAAAATTAAAAAGACAACCCACCAAAAAAAAAGTACACGCTAAAGACATTTTACTGGATTTTGAATATTGACACAATATATGACAGAACAATAACATATTCATAGTAATCGCACAATATACTGGTAGAGGATATTTTAGAAGAAAATTAAGGGCATTTACGTTTGTTGCCATGAGTAGTCAAACTGGCATAGCAAGGGCAAGTCTCAGTGTTGCCAGAAGTACCAGGAGGAACACAGTTGCATCTAGCACAACAAGTTCCACATGCCCTATTACACAATCTTGGCCTTGATGATAATCGGCACCTTGCTGCACAAGCTCCCCCACAGTCTGTACATATATAAACAACACAAAGAAATTTCACTAAGGATGTTCCAGGTTTAATATATATTTATATAAAAAGTGTATTGTTTATAATTGATACAGGACATAGGGGAATAAATATTTATAATTGAAAAAGGTGACAAAATGTTGTATAGAAATTACAACATACCAATTTTCTTGTAGGAATAAGCGGCTTCAGAAATAGCATTGCTGGTCTGCAAAAGTCAAAACATATATCACGAGTGAATAAATTAAACTTTAAATTAAGGAGTATGATTAAATTCTTAACTATATATTTAGACAGTCAACTAGATTTTTTTTTTCCACATAAATTCATGATGAAACGGTAATTCAAACCTCTTAGACTATTTATCATGAGTTCTTCTATTTTAGAACCGAAGAAATATACGTAGCATAGATATAATTTTTAAGTAAATTGCTAAGGAACAAATAAAATAACTCACCACTTGATCGGTCTGAATAGATTGGACTTGCTCGAGAAGGAGCAAGGAGAGAAGTAATGAAGCAAAGAGAGCTTTCGAAATGGCCATTGGAATTTGAAATATTTTTCTATAAATTGATAAGCTTCAATCTTTTGGTGTGACTTATGAAAAATGATTAGTAAATGGGGTATTTATAGGGGGGAAATAGTGGAAGTATATAAGGTTCATGTATATGAAGACAAATAAAATAGAAAAACACAAAAGCAAAAAGAATATTTTTTTATAAAAGAAAAAATAATATATACAAGTAGGTTTCATTTCATGCATGCGATTTTTTTCGTACGTGATGCTTAACTATACTGTAGTAGGTTAATGGGGTATACTACTAAAATAGAGAAGGAATTTAATTATTTAATTAGAAAAATATCTAACAGCTTAATCATAGAGTCTGGAATTATTAGTACATTTTCCAAAGTGTATATAATTGCTTTGGTAGGTGTTCATAGCTAACACATAAAGTCTACAAAGCTACATTACATGTAATTAATTAAAACAAGTTGGTTCCTAATTATATATATTATCCTTGGCCAAAAGAGAACTTAAGATTCCATCTAACAAATAATTCAAGTACCATTCATGCATATCTCTTTTAACACTCTTTCGTATCAATTTACCTGATATTATTTAAAATTTTAAGAGTAAAATTATTAAATTTTGATCATGAATTTAGATATAATTTTTTTTAAAATAAAATTTATATATTTAAAAATTATTTTTAAAAAAATATTATATAAATCATAATACTCTAACACACAAGAAAAAACTTTTGAAAAATATCACAAAAATCGAGATTAAAAAAAAACATAAGTTTACGGTAAATATATGTTCTCTTTGATAAAAAGTTCAACTACATATATATATA